ACTACCGATTGATGTAAAATTTGGAATTAACGCCAACGGAGGAGGGAATACTAAGAAATTCAATAGCATCCCAGAAGACGAGATGAGGGATATACATGCTATGGTGAGACAGTGCACCAAAATTATTAGCGATAAGATGAAAACAATATATTGCAAGGCAATAAACTCTGAGGGTTTAATTGAAGGCGATTGGGTATAACTATATAACCCACAACGAAAGAAAGGGTTATCTCTCAAATTACAGTGTAATTGGGAAGGACCATACCAGGTTAATAAACGACTCAATGATGTAGTGTGTCGCATATAGACCATTGGAAGACCAAAGAATAAAATGAAGGTGGTTCATCTGGAACGGCTTGCAGCGTTTGGTACCGCAAATATGTCTAATCGGGACGATCAGACTAAGGTAGAGGGCAGTGTGGCGAACACGAATACCAGAACAAATCAGAATCGACGATAAATTGCCAAAAGCAACTAGACAGCGAGTTCGTAGTTGCCAGAATGTTCTAGTAGCGAACTTTTGTTAAAAATTTACTATATAAGGGCTACCGGATTGTGCAGCAGACACAGTTCTAATTAGAGTGTTGCCGTGTAAAAAGCAATTAGGCTATAAGCAGTAAGTTGTAAACTCGAATATAGAGCAATAAGTGTTAAGTTGTTGGAATAAAGATAAGTGTATAGCCAATAAATTGGGACTTTAATTTAACAATCCAGTGATCGAACTCAAGAGTGAGTTACAGGTAGACGATTTATCGAGAAATCCGTTACAATTGGTGTCTAAAGTGGGATTGTCAAATAAATTCTCAAGGAGATAATTATTTGAAAATGGCTAAGTTTAACGATTTGAAGATTCTACAACGGAAAAAGGAGCTGGATCAACGTGGTTTGTCGACAAATGGATTAAAAACTGAATTACAATCACGGTTGAGAGAGGCCATGGAGGGAGAAATTTGGAATCAGCCCTAAATGCCGGAAACTGGGTGTCCGGGAAACCCGTACAACTGAACTACATCCGCAGTCCGTTGGAATGTTAGAACGATTCAATCGAACTTTAGAAGAACAAAGGAGGAAAGTTGTTGACAAGTATCAAAAAGGTTGAGATACTCATATATTGTTGTTCCTGATGGCTTATCGGTTTGCTACACATGAAACAACGGGGAAACTCCAGAAACCTTAATTTTTAGTAATTATCTTCGGTTACCGTTTGCTTTGAAGTTTCGAAGCGCAACAAAATTACGAGCAATAAAATAAAAGCAAAATACCACAAGAATGAAGTCTGAGAATTTTAGAGAAGGAGATTTAGTATTGTTGTTTGGTAGTACCCACTGGGCTGTCCCCAAATTAAAGTGTAATTGGGAAGGACCATACCAGATAATTAAACGACTCAACGATGTCATGTATCTCATACAGACCTAGAAATAAGATGAAGGTAGTTCATCTGGAATGGAACATAAAAGTATGGAAACAATTTAGTAAAGTGTTAGTGGATAAAAAAGTAAACAATATAAACATACGTTATATTGAACGTACTTAAAATTGTTGAATTTAACAAAAATATAGATACAAAATTTGAAGAAGCTCCTCTTACCGCCCATACACATATTTGACGCGAAATCGTAGGTCGTGGGAACAATTCTAAACTATATTGGTCAATAGCAGCATTTTTATTCGTTGATATATCTTTTAGTACCACGGTAAATACGTTTTATGTTATATTATTTAATGCGAAACGGTTCACAAACCTTGCATTGTGTGTGCTGTGCGTAACGTCATGCGTTATGAGCAATGTAGGTGCATGTTCAGATGGGGACCCTTTTTGTCGCCCAAAGTGATTTTCATGCCGGGGTGATGGCGAAGAAAGGCGAAGAGACCGTACCGCTTGGGTGGCACGTTTTGCGTTTTCTTCCGCTCCCTTCTCGCTTCTACGCAATTCGGCATTCCTTTTCATTGTGAAATTTCTTTCGTGGCTAAAATAGCGCTCGCGTTGAAAGGAATATGTACAGTATTCGGAAATTTTTATGTTATACTCCCGTTTTTGAATGTAATATGCATGCATGAATGCAAACGTGCATAGTATAGAATGAAATATATATATATGAGTGACATAAGTGTGACCGTCTTTATGCCGTTTATGCAGCTGAATTCTCTTATAGCTATAACAGCTGACAGCTGGCATTTCATGTTCTCTTTAGAAACTAACCAAGACTCTTACTTTCGGTAGAGTTTGCCAGAATTTAACTAACATGTGGTTGTTAACCAGATATTCAAAAATCATATTTGGCATATTGGCGATAAAGATCTCATCAAGCAGTTAACCATATGGTAACGGATTTTTTGACAGATCGTCTACATTGTAATTCATTCTTGAGTTCGATCAGTGGATAAATAAATGTCCGAATTTAATGGCTATACACATAGTTTTTTTTTTTATAATTCTAACAACTCTATTGTGTAATGCACCGTGTTCGTCACAATTTATTGATAGAACGGTCCTTATTATGGTTCTCATCGATATTATTGTAACATATACCAGATTTATTTATTATCGATAGTACACTCGATAATTTTGTAACTTTATTTCTTTTTCTTATCCCAGCGGGTTAGGTTTGAACTGTTAGTAACATTTGTTTTAATTTATATAATATAATTATTCGAGAAGGTTGATTATATATTTTGTTTACTCCTCTTTGAACGATTGCATATAATTAATTTTGGAAGTGTCTTGTAGACTAACGTTACATTGTTGAACGTGTTGTGTAACTTGGGTTTTGAATTGATCCTGCATTTCATAAGTGGAACAATGGCTCAAGAAAACGAATTGCAGAGCAAGGAAAGAGCGGTTTCGGGAGATGACATTATGTCTTCGTCTAAAGATAGGAGTAAAGTTTTAACCGAAAGTATAACATCGAATGGTATGTTTATTGGATTTATGTAATATATCTATTTTTAAAGACTTTGACATAGGAGTTTTGGTTCTTGAACCTGTAAAATTTTATAACTAAAGGTGCAATTAATCCATTTTACTATTCCTATTAATAACATACTACATGATTAAACGTAACCTGCAACTCCCACGTGATTTGTAGCGCTTGAATTGAGACGCTTTGATTTATCTCTTCTTCAGCTAAAGTTATTGTTTTCTACTTTATAAAAAGCATCATAAAATTTAACGAAAACCTCATTGGGAGATTGTTAAATGCTATTTGTTTCCTTTTAATTTTATTTAAAGTACGTATTTTTGCGATTTAAAATGAATTATACACTTATATTTTTCACTTATATCCACTAACACTTGAGTAATTCGTTTTTATAAATTTTTTTTATATTAGATGCTGCAAAAATAGCTTTATTTCAATATTTAAATCATTCTTCAATTTTATTATTTTGATAATAACAAAATGGTTGTGAATGTCAAAACATCAGTGTTGCCATACTAATATATTTTGTAAACGAAGTAAAATAAAATAAGCAGAGAGATTGTACCCTAGATACAGGAAACAACGCAAAAAGAAGTTCTGCGCCAAAAAACCTCGATACACCCCGGTGTTGGATCGCCCAGGGTTATTTTTTTGGGAAAACTTTAGTTTATCAACGATTTCAGGGTTAAGAGGGGTATGGTTGGATAGAGGAGATTCTTCAGATCTCGAATATATATAATTATTGATGCCGGAAACTTATAGTTTTCGAGATATTTGCATTTTAAGTTGAAAATTTCACAAATTTCGTTTTACAATTTCTCGATTTATGGTTATCTTTTCTTTTATATTATGCACTTATTACACACTAACACTTCACTACAATGTTTCTACATATTTATTTTATATTAAATATTTAAGTATTTGCTTTAAATAAGCATTTAATTTTGACACACAATTGGATGAAAACAATCAAAATAAATAAAAAAACCTAATCACACTCTACAAAATATTATGAACTTAATTTTCCATTTTAATAAAAGAAAAAGGTTTTATGGCTTGAACGTATGTTTTATTGCATCTGATTTCACAAATGGATCATGATTTTTTATTTGCACTGGCCGCGCTTTAAAAAAATAACCCTGGTCGGTCCAACACCGGGGTGTTAATAAATCAATCGCGTCAAACTTCTTTCTGCACTGGCGGCCTTCGGCCGCGCTTCAAAAAAATAACCCTGGTCGGTCCAACACCGGGGTGTTCATAATTTAATAGCGTCAAAGTTCTTTCCGCAAATTTTTTCTTTAAAGCAAATACAAAAGTACTTAAATATTTAATATAAAATAAATATGCAGAAACATTGAAGTGAAAAGTTAGTGTATAATAAGTGCATAATATAAAAGAAAAGACAACCATAAATCGAGAAATTGTAAAATGAAATTTGTGAAATTTTCAACTTAAAATGCAAATATCTCGAAAACTATAAGTTTCCGGCGGCAATAATTATATATATTCGTGATCTGGAGAATCTCCTCTATCCAACCATACCCCTCTTAACCATGAAATCGTGGGATGCTACACTAAAGTCCACCCATTTTTTTGAAGCGCGGCCGAAGGCCGCCAACGTAAAAAAAAGTTCTGCACCAAAAAACCTTGATACACCCTGGTGTGGGACCGACCAGGGTTATTTTTTTAAAGCGCGGCCGAAGGCCGCCAACGCAAAAAGAAGTTCTGCGCGAAAAATATTTTGATACACCCCGGTGTTGCACCGACCAGGGTTATTTTTTTTGAAGGACCGCCGAAGGCCGCCAACGCAATATGAAGTTCTACAAGAAAAAAGTAATATTGTCATAGAGGGTATAACATAATACTTAACATCAATGCTTTGTAATAGTTTATTTCTCTAGGTTTTGGATTCCTGTATTTGGGGTATTATCTGTTTCAATTTCTTTCAGTTCAATTACAAAAGATGTTGATAAGGTAACACTGGTTATTTGAAATTTTGCAACCCTTTTGTCATTGTCAGAATTAATATAATTTAACATTAATTTAAATATTGAATTGAACTATTTTTGCACTATATAATGTAAAATAAATGTGTACAAACGAATTAGTGAAGTGTTAGTGGATATAAAAGTGGATAATATAAGTGTATAACTCATTTTAAATCGAAAAAATGCGTACTTCAAATAGTCGAAATTTTGAATTTTAAACCCAAATATTTCGAAAAGTATAGGTTTTCCGCGGTTATATCTATATATATTCTTGATCTGGAGGATCTTCTCTATCCGCCCATACCCATTTTATCCCCGAAAGCCTGGGACGTTATACTAAAGTTTTCCCAAGTATTATTTTAAAAAATGGCTTATACTTGCAAAATACAAATACAAATTTCTATGTATGTAAACTACTCTGTCTGCATTGCACTACCTACATATATTTAGTGAATATCAAATTAAAAAGTTCACTCCTGTTTGTAATTAAAGGAAAACTTCCTTACACCTTCCCCGGAATTATTTATTACCACTTCATTTTTTTCATTTATTTTTATTTGATTTCAAAATATTTATAATATGTAGATATGGTAATACTTATCATAATATAAAATAAATGTGTTAGTAGATATAAAAGTGAACAATATAGGAAAATTTTAGAATACCGTCCCAGGCTCTTAGGGATGAAATGGGTATCAGCGGATAGAGGAGATCTTCCAGATCAAGAATATACAATATTAAAATTAAAATATTGAAGAATGATTTAAATATTGAAATAAAGCTATTTTTGCATCATATAATAGAAATATATTGTTTTAAAAACGAATTAATGAAGTGTTAGTGGATATAAAAGTGAAAAATATAAGTGTATAATTCATTTGGGTCGGCTTTAGTTTAGCATCCCACGATTCACTCAGGGTTAAGAGGGATATGGCCACTTATTAAAAAAAAAAAAAACTCGTTAAACTTAATCAGCGAAATTTCGACAAAAAGTTAGTAAAATGGTTTTATTTATTTTTTTATAAAAATTTGGATTTTTTTTTTATAAAGATAGTATTTAGTTGCGTGACTTTACTTTTTTAATATTGCTGCACAGCATCGTGATATTGAGTCAACAAGTTTTTGGCATCGTTCGGTGTAAATAGACTGCCAATTTTTCCTCATCCTGCCATAGTTGCCTTGTCGATGTGGGTTTACATTGGGCTAGAGAGTCCTTGGCATTAGACCACAAATTTTCGATGTGGTTGAAGTCAGGGGACTGTGGCGACCATTCCAATACGATGATATTTCTTTCTTCAGACCACCTTTTAGCAACTTGTATGTTTGGGATCATTCTCCTGTTGCGTCATTTTGTCGATCCAACTTAAACGTTCGTTAATTTTTCAATGTTCGTTAGCGAATCGAAGTATTTTCCCATCATGCGTTTTAGCCAATAACGGAACTTGGACTTTGCGAAAGAATTCTGCCCAGTTGATAGTCTTTGGCCGGATAAAGTTCCGATAATAAGGAACATAACGAGCTCCTCTCCAAGCAGTTTCTGCTGGGGTGTTTTCGCCAAACCAGGTTGATCCTCGCGCATCTTCGTTCTGGATATTGTAGCAGATTAAATGCATGATACTAAGCACCTCTTTGCATGCCCAACAAACCCAACTCATCTAACACCCTTTCCCCTATGGTCCGACCCAATGGTTTTTTGCGCCTTCCCCGACGACAACCAAACTATAGCTTATCATCCAAGCAGGAACTAGGAAACCGTTACAGCAACAACAACAGCAACCAATAAGACTAAAGCTGACCGATCCAAAGAGGGTTCGATAGCCGAAATAACAGCCCTTGACCGAATAAAATCCGGGTCGATTCCGGTAACGTAAAACCGGCTGTTGTGGGAAGTGGCCCATGCTGCCAACGCACAACTGCGTCACTTGCTCCAACTGCTGTGCAATCTGCACCATGTTCGCGCAATACGCCGTCACCCCAGTCGAGTGACCAAGAAAGAACCTCCACGGGGAACCACTCGGTAACTCCGGGTTCCTCGCACAGTCTGTTCCGTTTGTCAGACCTTCTTACGTCGGAACGTCACATCAGTCAAGTGCAATTCTTGTACTGGCAGGTGTCACTTTCCGCCGTGTTCCGGCCTGCGAACCACACGTGAGTGGAGTGCGTCGAATGTTGCCCGTGCTCTAGAAGTCGCCAAACAACAACTCATTGCCACAACTGCCCCTGCGGATATTACAGCTACAACAACCACCACCTACACGTACCTCCCTCACCCCCAGGATCACCACTAAACACCCGAGACAGACTGCAGCGCAAGGAGATAGTTGCATTTATGAGCAGGGAACGCGTATCGATAGCTGCGATCCAAGAAACCAAGCTAAACAGCCGCTCAGATATTATGAGTTGTGCAGGTATCAACGTTTTACGTAATATACACTGCACCCTTTGGCTGACAAGGCCAAACGATGTGTTACCCGCCGGCTGCGAAAAATGCCAAAAGACTGCGCACCACTTTTACCGATGGGGAGGTTCGGAGTGCCATCAAAAAGGCCAAATCGTCCAAATTTATTTGCCCTGACGGAATAAGCACGTGATGCTCCTACATCCAGACTAAGCGGGAGTGAGCTACCTCAACAGGGTGGTGTCCTCTCCCCGCTACTGTTTAATTTCTACATCTCGAAACTCCCCCAACCACCAGATGGAATTTCCGTGACCCAGTACGCTGATAACTGCACGATATTGACCTCTGGCAATGGAATCAATGGCATGTGCTCGAAAGTAAACGGCTCTCTCTGAGACCTTTCTCGCTTCTTTTCTGCAAGGAGTCTGACACTTTCCTCCACTAAACCCGCATTTATTCAAACTAGACGAAGAAGTACAGACTGGATCTAGACATTTCAGTCGGTGGCACTAAAATTCCGACAATCAACAACTCTAAAATTTTAGGCGTTACACAGTCTGCGCTCCTTCACTCAAACAACCGCGATAACTGCCAAAGTACAGAGCCGC